TTTTTTTTTTCTGGCTTTTAGTTTTAATGTAGCTCTTCACCAGTTTCTAAATTCATCTGCTAAAATTGTGAAGAAAGTTATGTAATGAAGATTCGAACTTCAGAGTATTGACAAATAAATGTGAAAGAAGTGTGTTTGAGAAGGAATTTGTGGTTTCCGTGAAGCTAGAGGTGGCGAAGGACGGTGACATATGACAGGGGCGCCGACACTGGCAATGGAAGGGTGGGGTGGCTAGAGAAGATGAAGAAGGTGAAATGAATTTTTAATTTTAATTATTTTATTATAAACAAATGTAAAATTGTCATTTCAACATTTTAAAATCAGTCAAAGTCAATTATTTGGTCAACTAACGGTCAAATTAACAGAAACCATTCATTTGGACTTCAACTGCTACATTTTGAAAGGTTTGGTACCATGGGTGGCACAAATAAAAAGGTTGAACAAAATCTGCTACTTAATAAAATGTTTGATACCCCTATTGCAATTATCCCTTCAATTTATTGGCCAATACTAACATATTACCGGTCAAAACATTGGTTGTTTGAATTTACGGACCAACTATTATTGCTTTATCAAATGGGAACAATACATCACTAAGAAGTTTAGTTTTACCAATTTCAAATTTAAGAACTTAAGTTTAAAATTTCAAGTTTCAGATATTTTTAAATTTTATTTATAAAATAATTAATTAAACATATATTTTATTAATTAAGGGGGTGTTTATTTTTTACTTGAGAATTGACAAATTTTCATTTTCAACCACACATTTTTCAATAAAATAATATTTTCCATCACATCAATAATTTTTTCTACTTTTTCAACCACACATTTCCATCANTCATTTTCAACCACACATTCTTCAGTAAAATAATATTTTTCATCACATCAATAATTTTTTCTTCTTTTTCAACCACACATTTCCCATCATATCACTATTCAAAAATCAATTCTTCCCCCAAAAATTCCTATCAAGCAAGCACTAAATATATTAAGGTCACAATTCCATATAATTTGATCACAAATTAATTCTCGGTCACAATAAAAGATTTTATAGGTCACAAATTATTTCATAATGACAAATCGACAATTTTATAGGTCACAATTTTTTCATCGGTCACAAATTTATAAAATTAGTAAGTCACATATTATTCATTGATCACAAATCACAAATTTTATATGTCACAAATTATTTTACGGTCACGATTCAAAAAATTTATAGATCACAATTTATTTATCGGTCACAAATCATAAATTTATACGTAACAATTTATTT